GGTGAAGGCCTCTGGTAAAAGTGAGGGCCTCTGGAGAAGGTTAGGGCCTCTAACGAAGGTGAGGGCATCTGGCGAAGGTGATAGCCTCTGACAAAGGTGAGGGCCTCAGATGAAGGTGAAGGTCTTTGACGAAGGTGAGGGCCTCAGGTGGTGGTGCGGTGAGGCTCTGACGGTGGTCCGGCGAGGGTGAGGGCCTTAGGTGGTGGTCCGGCGAGACTCCGGCGGTGATCCGTCTAGGTGATACATCTACAATATCACTTACTAACTCACAAACATGACAAAATAAAAGTCAAGTCTATAAAAGAATAAATGAACCAAAACATATCACAACATAAATCTGATGCTGCTATTAAACTACTCAGCTCGCTTCTTACCCTTTCCCTGACCTGAAAATGGAAGAAAAATAGGAGTGAGTTAACGCGGCTCAACAGGCTATCACAACCTAAAAAAATTCAATGTCTCAAACCAAAAGGACTAAAAACATTGTACTATAACAACAAAATGAAGTGTTGTACAAAAATTGAAACTAAAACATATGCTGATATTGAATACATTTAAGTAATTAGTAAAATTGTATGAAAATTGATTGAAATGAAAATCAACATCTTATAGCAAATATCATAGTACCTCTCAAGCCCAAATTTCTAGTATACACAAACAAACAATAATATTCCATCATATATCTCCTAATCTTCCTTCACATCGGTATTTGAATACATAAGATAGTACAAAATAACACTAGGGGTGTTTAAGATAGTACAAAATAACACTAGGGGTGTTAAAAATAGGTTGCAGGTCAGGTTGATGTTGAACTTGATATTGACCCGCTATTGTTTGACTTGACCCAAACTAGACTAGATTTTACATATGGGTTAAAAATTCCAACTCGGACCCGACGTGTCGGGTTACCGAGTTAACCCAACCCTACTCGATTTAACGAATTAACACAAACTATTCCGAGGGGCGAGCACGTTGAGCGCAAGCGGGAGGCAGTTCAGAATGGTTGAAACAGAAGTGGATGGGGGCCTGCAGAATGTTGTTCGGTGCGGGGCTTGCCGGCAAAGCAGAAGGCGAAAGCATCACGCGCAAGTAGTCGCGTAGGTCATGGGGTCTTGCTTACGCTTGTACAAGAGAAACATAAGTGAGTGAGTGCAACATGCAGGGTCGGGGTCACGAACAAGCGGGACATGATCCGATGTGAGGTCATGGGCATGCGATGCGTGCTACTGGCTGGTCACTTTTGGGTCATTTTCGGTTTACCTTGTTAACTCAAAACCTACTTGATTTTTCAAACGAGTCGAAAAATGGAACCTTGGACCCAACCCATTTGCTAAATGGGTTGACCCGAAATTGAATTTTTTTAGGTCAGGTTTGGGATCAAGTTTTTGGGTTGGATCAAATATTAACACCCATAAATTGCGCCTAATAGAATTTATATTGTGTCATTGGCACTAGAATCTAAAAACATAATATAGTGCATATAACATGTAATAGTTCTCATACCAAGCATATAGTACCATAATATGGCTTTTACCACTAAAATATGCCATAAGCACTTGAATAGATCTTCTAGAACTTCTCCCATTTTCACACCAAGCCTTCTCAACCTCCTTATTTCACCCAACCACGCACAAAAAAGAACATATTTTTATTCATTTCGGAAGTTATAATGGTAAGCAACAAAAACACTACTAAGCAAAAACTGATATTTCCAAAAAAAAAAAAACCAATTATCATAGAATGTGTACAACAATATTATGAAGCTTTAATTGAACTAGAAAATTATTTTTATATGTTTTTTTAATCGATAAAAATCAATGCTCTTCAAAATCATCTAGCAAAAAATCTCAAATAAATACTCAAAATAATCAGAACAGTCGTACCGATAATATATCAAAAGTTATATGAATAAAAGTTATCAGAATCTGATAAAATTGCATTTTTTTAACAACCAATTATAAATTCAATCAAAAAATTTTAAAAATATCGAATTACTAAAAACTGAGTTAGGTAAAACATAACATATCTCGATTCAGGCAACTTCTCAAATCAAACTAAAGGCTAAAAATGATCTGAAGACGCTCAAATCAGAGTTTCTCCCACTAGAAACCCTCTCCTCTCTCTACCAACAGTTGCCAAAACATTCAAATAAGTTTGAATGGTCAATTTAGATATTTTTAATATTAAAGTTTGCTTTAGCACTGTACACACGCTCCCTACAAAATTTGTAGCGCTGCCTTCCATGCTGTACACTGGAGCTTTGAATTAAATACACATTTTTCTGAGAATATAGTACCGAAGCACTAAAAACACAGTACTTGGGCAGTCGAAAAAAAAATCAACTTTTTATAATGTGCTTTTAAACCCATGAAATCTCGCAGAACACATGCATACCTTCACATGCATATAAAACACTCTCAGACATGAGTAAAAGAGTGCAAATGCATAAGTTTAACAGGTTACCTGATGCCCAATTGGGTCAAACCGATTTGAACAAAATTCTGAATCTTGAGGTCTCACACAACTCGACTATATTATGATCACGATTGAAGCTCTTATGCTCTCAAATAGTTAATGCCCTTGAGTAATGAATCATAGAGTAAACTTAATAGGGCACAAAACCCTATGTTATGCAAGGTTGCCTTGAATTTTTCCCTTAGACAAATATTTATCCTAGATCTACAAGACACACTTGGATAAAGCAACTCATGGATACCGATAAATAGGGGCGGAGCTAGAAATTTTTATGAGTGGGGGCACAAATTGATCAATTTTAATATACTCCTAAAATTTTTTTAGTAGCATTTTTATCTCTCCATTAAACAGTCTATAATAAAATAACATTTTTAACTTTTAAAAACATTAATATTTGTTTTTAATAAAATTTTAAATTCTATATTCTATTAGTTGTTACACATAAATTATAATCATCTTATTTCATTTTAAATATTTAGCTATTAATTTTATAAAAAAATAATTTGTAACATGCATATATTTTTTTTCTTTATATATGTATATATATTAATTTTTAATGATAAAAATTAATATTTTTCTAACATTGCATATTTTAATAAAATTATTGATTGCTAATTTATGACATATATAAAAAATTTGTACTAAATTTTCTCATTTATTTTTGTTGGATTTAATAATAGTTTAATTAAAAAATAGTAAGCAACTTTACATTTGATAATATTAACAAAATGCTTTAAAACTTTTAGAAAGATAATATATGTATTTATGCCAACTATTCATCGCCGCATCCTATTTTTATGACAGCAACAAGTTCATATTCAACCTGTCTTGTCGATTTTAAATATGGCCGGCATTTCAGTCATTATAACTTCGTCAACCCTTGTCTTCCTCATCCGTGCAAAGCTAATGCAAAGAAGAGAGAGAGAGAGACACTGAGAGAGAGAGAGTGCGTGTGACAAATGGAGGATGGTGGATTGTCAGAGAAGTTAACAATGGAGAAGAGGCGTAGCAGAAAAGAAAGAGATGAGAGTGGAGAGTGGGAAGAGATCGGACTTGGGCAACTGGGCGGTTTATCTGCAGTGTATTGCTTTTTTATATAAAAAAATACCATAATCTAATATGAACTAAAAAAAAATTTCAGGTCCCAGTGCCCTCACAGGGGCTCTGCCGCTGCGGACAAAGATCCTTCGGTTAGGTTTGGTCGACAATCTCCTTTAACTAAGTAAATTAAGGACCATGATAACCTGATATTATAGAACCATGAGATCTTGATCTTGAATATTTTCATTCATTCCACTATCCGCTTTAAGTGCATGGTGATGAACTTCTAATTTTAAACATCTAAAATTATTGTTACTATATGTCAGGTACTTAGTCTCTATCTAATGACCATCCTTAATCAAAAATGCTCTCCTATCATCGAAATATGTAATTAACCATATGGGCTTACGCCTATAAGAAAATGGATCTCAGATCATATAGTCCTCGCATAATGCGGGCGAAATATCTAAGTAGTGTCGTACCTCTAGTCAATATGCCATATGAAAATATTCCCCGAACTTAATCTATTAAAACTATCCCTAAATCACTTGAAAAGGCTTTCAAATTTTCGAACCCACAAAGTTAGGAGTAATAAGCCTCTCACTTGGAGTATTATCATTTGGGTGTTTCTATTACATATTATAAGGAGAGTTAGTACAAGATCCTTATCCAATTACAATTATAAGAAACTTTAGTGAAATTTTTTAGAGGAGGGCTTGGGGAGTGAAAACAGGCATTAGGTGGTCGAACAACTATAGAATTCTTTGTGCGATCTGCTTCCATTTTTCATATTTACTTAATTATTTTACTTTATACAAATTAAATAAGATATTTTGGGGATTTCATCTTCATATTAAACTTTTTTCATTAAAAAAAATTCTTTTAACATATTAATACATTGATTTTTAAAAATCATTTTGCAAATTAGTCCAATTTTTGTCTTACCTTCGAGTGGCATTGGAGCAACGGCTATTTCTTGTAAGATCTTGCAACCTAAAAGTAGATCCTAATGGCACATATTAGAAATGATGTGATGACCGAAGGATATTATATTCCCATCCTAAGTCATTTTATAACATTATATTTGACTTTTTGAAAGTCTTCATGTCTAAGGCTTCGTGTGAGATAGCTTTCTTACTGCATCTTAAAACAGTTTTTTAGTACTAAAAAATTGCTTAAATTTTGAACTAAAAAACTGTTTTAAGAAGCAGTAAGAAAGTTGTCCCAAACGAAATAAAAGTTTATTCATCCTACTACTACTCTATATATATATATATATATATAAAATTTATTCATCCTACTAATTTTGTATGTGACATTTAATATAAATTGGCTATTTATGCCCTAGTAAAATTATAGATGGTTATATTAAAAATAAATTGTACAGGTGCGAAAGAGAGATGCCCTAGCCGTCATCTCCTCTTTCCTTCCCGCTTGATCGCTCTTCTTCCCTGGCCGCCACCGGCCTCCAGCCGGTGGTCACCATGGACACGCTTGATCCTACTCTGTTTCCTCCTATGGCTCAAGCTTCCACTTCCGTCTCTGCTTCAAATCCACGAGTTTTAGACCACCTTTGGTCTAATATCATTTCGGAACCTGCTCCTTCTACACCTCACATTCCAGTCTCCCTTATGGAAACACCAGAAGATATCATACCCTTCAACAAAGATTTCACTGAACATGCGGCTGTGGAATGGAGTCTCTGCCTTGTAGGTTACTCTATCGGTAAGAGACCTTACTATGAAGCTTTAAAAGAAACTGCAAAAAGAATTTGGAAGCTAAAAGGTACCTTTCAACTCATTGCTCTCACCGATGGGTTTTTTCTATTCAAATTTTCTTTGCTGGAAGATTACGACATGGTCTGGGGGAAGGGAGCTTGGTTTTTCCATGGTAAACCTTTCATCTTTCAGAAATGGACTAAGAATTTTAATCCCACTAGAGAAAATTTCTCATCTGTGTCGATTTGGGTAAAAATCCACAACCTTCCTTTAGTTTGTTGGAACTCTGAAGGGATATCTAAAAGAGCTTCAAAGATTGGGATTCTGATAGTGGTAGATGCGTTAACTGCGGCCAAAACGAGATTAACGTATGCCAGGATATGTATACAAGTATCTATCACCTCTTCTTTTCCTGAGAGTGTTGCTGTTACGATTGAGGGAGATGTCATCAAATTGCAAGTTCAATATGAATGGAAACCCAATCCCTGCACTTCATGTGCTTCCTTAGCTCATTCAACTCAGAATTGACCTACCGCTCAGTCTACTGCGCAGAATGCCTCTAATCATATTAGAGGTCACAGTAATTCCTGTAATCCTCGAAATGTTCCTCTTCACCGATCCAAGTCTGTTACATTCAAGGGGGAAAATCAGCCGGATTCTTCCAAACTGGATTCTCATGTTGCTTCAGCTTCTAATCTAGCTTTAGTCCCTTCCCAGGTTAACTGGGTACCTAAATATAATGTACTTCCTGGAAAAACCTCTGTTGCTGCACTACAGAATGATCCCATTCCTGATCCCCAGCTTACAAATCTTATTGTAAATAATACTGAAATTTTACCTCACACTTTCAGTGATGCTACTAATTCAGTTCCCCTTCTCATTCCAAATCTTAATTCCCCTACTAATGATTGCATAAGGGAAACCGTACTAGTCCAACCTCATCCCTCCATTCCTCCTACTATGCCAATGAGTAATAAGTTCTCCTCTCTACAGGGTACTGAAGAATTAGTCCTATCGGGATCTGAAAATGATTGTTCTTCTTATTCTGAGCCTATATCTAACTCTAGTGGGAAAAAAAGCAAAATAACCCAGCCTAAAAATGCAAAAGGAAAGGGTTCTAAAAAGCCGTCGTCTGCTAAGCGTAAATGATTTGTCCATCCATAGCGGCTTGGACTATTAGAGGATTTACTTCCTCTAATAAGGTTTCACATTGCAAATTGCTCGTTCAAATGATTCGTTTGGATATGTTGTGTATTCTAGAGAATAGAATACAGGCTTCTAGTCTTTCTGACTTGACTTTTTTCAACAGTCATAAGGTTTATGGTTTGGAATCTAGTTGCAATAATTTCCATTGTGCTAATCCGGGCAAGATTTGGTTAAAATGGAATTCTGATACTTTGGATTTCCAACCCTCTTTCTTCTCTTCTCAAATGATTACTGGTATGATTTTCTATGGGTCTTGCACTCCTTTTTTACTTTATGTGATTTATGCCTCTAATCATCAGATAGGTAGAAAAGCACTTTGGGAGGATCTTAGAGCTCTCTTTCCCACAGGGGGCATTCCCTGGTTGGTTATGGGTGATTTTAATTGTTGTCGATTTACTTCAGAAAAATTAGGGGGAAATTTACTACATCAACATCAGCTTTATGACTTTAACAGTGTTATTTTTGACACTAATCTTCATGATCTGGCGTCCATGGGACCCTCGTATACTTGGTACTATCAAAGGACTGATTCCCCTATTCACATACGTTTAGATCGTATGCTAGTGAATGAGTACTGGCTAGCTTCGTATCCGGATTCCTACTGCCTCATTAGAACTCCAGATGGTTCGGATCACTGCCCTATTATACTCAAATCCAGTGAGAACTCTATTTCTAGACATCGCTTTCTCTTCAAAAATTATTGGGTTAAATGTGATCAATTCTTGTATATTATGTTTGATTTTTTTGGCACCAATGCCCATGGGAATCTTCTAGTGGATTTGGCCTATAAACTTAAGCAATTAAAAAATGTTATTAGAGGTAAAAGTTGGGCTAATTCGAACAATATGGCTGATCAATTAAAACTCCTTCAAAATAAGCAATTGGCTTGTCTTAACAATCTGAATTCTGGTGCTGATCTTGTACAGAACTCTTTGGAGCTGAAAAATGTAAACATTAAATTGGAGGTTGCTTCCTCCATGTGGTTTTCATGGATTAAACAAAGAGCTAAAGCCAAATGGCTCTCTCAGGGGGAGGAGGATCTGAAGTTTCTTTATGCTAGAATCCGTTTACGTAGGCATATTAAAAAAACTGCTACTACCCTTTCCATGTCAAATGCTGGACCAGTATTGATGCCATCTCTGATTCTATCTCCTACTTTCAAAATCTTTTCAATACGCCTCATAATCGGGAATTCTGTGTAGATTTCTTCCCTCCTGGTAATGTTATTTCCACTGAACTTGGTAGATCTCTTACGGATCCTTTTACTGATATTGAAATTAAGAAAGCAGTGTATTCTGGAGCTTCCAATTCCACGCATGGACTAGATGGCTTAAACTTTGAGTTTTTCAAGACTTCCTGGGTGGTTACTGGCACTACTGTTTGCAATGCTATCAAGAGTTTTCATCAAAATGCTTACATTCCCCGCTCTATTAAGGCCACTGCCATCACTCTTATACCTAAATCTAACCATGCTGAAACTTTATCTGATTTCCGGTCAATTGCCTTGTGTAATACCTCTTACAAAATTATTGCTAAACTTTTGGCCGTGAGGATGAAGTCTTTAATGGTCCATATTATAAAAGGTAATCAAGCGGGTTTTATCCAACATAGGATTTCAACTAATAATGTCATCCTTGCTAATGAAATTTTACAACATTCTAGGAAAACCTCAAACTTCAAGCTAATGTGTATTAAGCTTGACATTAAAAAAGCATTTGATAGTGTCTCTCGTGAATTTCTTATTGCTAGAATGCTTCAAAAATGTTTTCCTAACATATTTGTTGGGTGGATTGATGCATGCATCAAAGAGGTATGGTATTCTTTATGTATGGATGGTGCTTTGGAGGGTTTTTTCCCCTTCTAGTTGTGGCCTAAGGCAGGGTTGCCCACTTAGTCCATATCTTTTTACTATTGTGATGGATGCCCTTTCTTGCTTGCTTGATTGTAATCTTCATGAAAACAGTTTTGAGGCTCTTTCTGTTGGGGATTATAGGCTTTCTCATCTACTATATGCTAATGACTTAATTCTGTTTGGTAAAGCTGATCTTCCAAACTGTGAAAAAATTACAAAAACTCTCAAGGATTTCTCTATTGCTTCAGGTCTTCATATTAATTATGAGAAAAGCTGTGTGATTTTGCCACCCAACTACACAAATGCTGACAGTCTGTGTGCATCTCTTAATATATCCAACTCCTCTAACACCATGAGTTATCTTGGTATTCCTATATCTCCTTATAATCCTAGGATAGCCAATTTTCTGTACTCTTGGAAAGCATCATCAAGAAGTTGTCGGGTTGGAAGGCCAAAGCTCTATCGTTTGCTGGTAGGCTGCAGTTTCTTAGATACACTATATGGAATTCGATCGCCTACTGGATTCGTGGTAGCATAATACCTAAAACTTTTATAAAGCAAATTGATAGACTATGTGCTAAATTCTTATATTTTGGTGACTCTAGTGCCAAAAAATTTAGTGCCAAAAAATTACATTTAATTGCTTGGAGAAACACTTGTTTGCCGAAAGAGAAGGGTGGTATAGGTTTGCCTTCATTGAAATCCTTACAGTTTAGCTATAACTGTTCTCTCATTATTATGATTTATAATACTCATTACCCTTTAAGTGTATGGCTGTTCAATGCTTACATATCTCCTTGGAAAGAACCCATTTCTAAAGCCTATGTGTTCTGGAAGAATGTTGGTAAAGATGCTCTCTTAGCTAAGCAGAATTTTCACTTTACTGTTTCTTCTACTTCTAAGTTCTCTCTTTATTGGGATCATTGGTGTAAGGATTATACACTTAAAGAGATAAGAGATGCTCAACCCCTGCTTTCTTCTTTCCCTGTTAATGAGAGTATAGCTGTGATTATAAATGGAGTGCACTGGAGCTTGCCTGCTGCTATGCGCGCCTTTGTTCACTCTGTTTTTTCTGCTATTAATATTAAGGAAGGTTCACTAGATAATCTGTATTGGGGAGATGGTAAGAACTGCAAGCATAAACATTATAGAGAGTTTTATTTTAATGATTACCCGAATGTTACCTGGTGGAAGTTTGTGTGGCACAAAAAGTATGTCATTCGTTTTTCTTCTTTTTGCTGGATGGCTATTAAGGGAGGTCTTAAAACTGCTGATTCACTTTTTGCAAGGGGGATTGAAGTAAATAAAAACTGTGCTCTTTGCCATTGTTATGATGAAACTAGTTCACATTTATTTTTTGAATGTGATTATTCCTTTGCTATTCTCTCTATTCTTATGAGAAATCTTGGGTTCTTACTCTTGAGGCCCAATATACTGCAAATTTTTGAATACATAGAGGATACGCATCATAAGGATAAGGATTTCTTCTTTCTCCTTATCTGTTGTGCGGTTTATTACATTTGGCGTGAAAGGAATGATAGGAAATTTGGAGGTAAATCTGTATCTTCCACCACTTTAGCTCACAAAATCAAAACGGCTGTACTCTCAAAAATTCTGAAGTGGAAAAAAGTTGAAAACCTGTTACATTTGCTGTAAATGTTGGGTGCTGTATTGCATTTCTGCTGTAAGGTTGGCTGGATTGGTTTTTTCTCTGGTTGCTGGGTGCTCATTGCTGTATTGCTGATGGTGGCAGGCTGGAATTCTTCTCTGGTTTGCTAGGTGCAATTGTATTCTGGATAGGCAGGATTTTGTTCGGTGGAAGATGGGAAATGATGTTAGAATTGCCATTTTTCTCCTTTGGATGGCAAGTTAAGTTGGCTTTTTATTTTTGCAACTAGGTTGAGAGAGCGGCAATTCCTGAGCCCGAGGCATTAATGTCTTCCTCAGTCTGTTGTTGGCTTCTTCCCTCATATGGTTTTTGGTTATAATTTTCTCCGAATCTGTTTTTTAGACATAGTTTATTTTCTTACTTAGTATCAGCTTTTGGGGTTTTTGTTTTTTGCCCCAGTTTTTGGATCTACTCAGTTTTTGCTAGGTCTTGTCTTTACTGTTTTTTTCTTTTTTCATGACATGTAACAAGTTTATATTAATGAAAAGGGCCACGGCCATAATTTTATCCAAAAAAAAGAAGATAAATTGTACATGAACTTAAGCTTGATAATTAAGCTCTAGGTATTTAAATTATATTTTCTTTGAGCTTAAATATAATGATTACTTGTTGCCGATATTAGCGTCGGGTTGTTCACCTACGTCAAAAAACTGGGTTGCCGAGTTTGTCGAAGACGAGCACTAAAGAGGAGAAAAGCGCTCGAAAGAGGAAAGAGATTGTTAACTTCGCAGGAAGGGCGCGAAAGAAGAAACAAATGCAATTCGATTCGAGATGAATTACATCATTTTGAAGTTTTACTATATTTTAGAATGTAAAATGGGTTTTTTGGTTGGAGGTGCCCTAGTAAGAAAGTTATTTATTTTAAAATTTTGAGTGAATTTTATTTTCTAAAGAGAACTTTTGACCATATTTTTATAAGAAATAAAATAATGGACATATTTTTCTAAATTCAAGCATTATGAGGCATATTAACTAAAATTTCTCTATATAAAAAAATAATAAGTCTAGAAAAAATTAATAGCATAAATTATTATATTATTTTTAATGCCATAAGATTTTAAAGGTTAGTATATCCTCTGTTAGAAAAGTTTGTGTATTTTGTACAAATTTAACACATTTAATTTAATTAAAAACATGAAAAGAAAATATAATGAGATTTATAGGTGTAAATTAATTTAATTGCAAATTATTTTAAAAGGTATTTTGAAAAAGTGCTGGGAGATTCTTACAACTTTTTTTTTTACTGGTGAACTAGTCTCGATTTTTAGAGATTCTTACAACTTCCACAAACATTGGAGGGATCTTTGCAGATCCAATCATCCAAGCTCTGCCGTCAGCTCCGCCCTTTATATGATCGCTTTGGGAGCAAATCCGTCTCTTTATCATCAGATTCAAATCAAGAAGTTAGGCTTCTTCTTCGCTGTCATCTTCTCGTACAAGTATTTCCGACTCGCAGAGCGCGAGACCGGAGGGAGGACGAGCAAACTGAAGATGGATCTGATAAGGTCTCGCTTCGTTCTGTTCGGTGATTCAATTACAGAGCAGTCCTTCAGGCCCGGTGGATGGGGAGCAGCCCTTGCTAACACTTATGCCAGAAAGGTTCTACACTTTTTTTCCATTGCCACGTTTTCTTCCTCTTCCTGCTAACACTGTTACTAACTGAAAGTTTAGGAACAGTGCGACAACATTTTTAACCGGAAAAAAAATTAGATTTGCACGAAAGTTTTGTCTCATTGATCCCCAAATGAGACTTATATCCCAATTTAATCTCAAAGAAAATCATAACTTAGCTTGGACTGGGAATCAGATAAATGTCAAATGAGATTGGATGATGTTATACGCCTTATGGTCATCTTATGATTATAAGGTTGAAGTTGATCGTTTATTGTTAAACATGCTCCGCAATGATTTAATCTGAGTTATTCTTAAACCTTTGATTTGTATTTCTCTGAAAGCTTGTTTTTTAGACTTGTACATGTTGAGCTTTGGTTGATTTGAGGCACATGGCTGGTCATAGATGAGCTCAATCCGTTGCTTTAGGACATATATGTAAACCATGGTTTGAGATGCTGACTATTACTATTCTTATCTTTTAGGTTTCATTTGGGGATGGCTTTCTTGCTGCTTCTTAAAGCAGCTTTCTAGTGTAAAAATTTTAATTTTTAAACTAGAAAGCTATTTTAAAAAGCAATATAAAAGCCGTCCCAAACGAATCCTTAGTAGGATGCTAGTGTGGAGTCAACTTCATATGCTGGTGAAAATTTGTTGATCCATAGGTTATCCCATTAAATAATTCTCACATGTTTTTTTCTTAGTTCACTGATAACTCAGTTATGATGAGCAAATAGAACAAGTTACTTTAGGAATAATCTGAGTTTAAAATATTTTCATTTTATACCAAACGAATATTTAACAGGCTTTTGTCTTTCGTTTGTTCGAGAGTTCATGTATTGATCACAAAACAAGTGGAAGCTTTATGTGCTATACAAATTGAAAAACATGTACATAACCATTACATTTCAAGTAGATAGTTCTAGTATGCCTTAACACCAGTTAAAATGCATTTTTCTTACTGTTCTTGTTTCAATTAGAATGGTAAATCTAACTCCACCTACATCAAGTATATTCTGTTCTCAATTTGTTTTACCAATTTGATCAAGTTGCAATGGTTTTTAAATTATTTTATGCTTGAGAAGTGTTCCTTTCTTCTCACTGTTCTCATGCTATTATTACCTATAATACCAGGCTGATATAATTGTTAGAGGCTATGGTGGATATAACACAAGATGGGCTTTGTTCTTGCTTAATCGCATATTTCCACTGGTAATGTATCCCATTCATGCATTTCTTCTATACATAATATTATTTATTATTTTATTCCTTAGATGTATAGATCATACACCATCTCATCTAGTTAGGTAATTGATATCCCTGATTAAAGATTCTTTATATCATTAAGTTTGGGGTAACTTTGTATGACAATATGTGCTGTCTTAGACACTCATATGTTTTAGCTTTGTAAGTAACTTTGCAATTTAATCAGCAAATATGAGGAACTTGAAGTTGTTATTCTTGGGCTGATTTTCTCCTGAAAATACAGGAAAAATAATTGTACAGTTCAGGAGTGGATAACTTGATGCATCTGCACTATACATTTAATTTTTCATCACCATTGTTATAGCCTCATTCCATCTCTTTTTGCTTCCACCTTTGGGATTTTGTATATGAGCATTGCTATTGGAATCTAGGCAACTTTTACAGCGTGTCATTATCATATTTTAATTATCTGCCTTTTTTTAAGGCCATTTAGTTGGTATGTGCTTTTTTACCTATCTTCTCAAGACTTTTAAATATTTTTTTATTATCCTCCTCTCAAAAGTGTTATTATCTAGGAGATTCTTCCAAGCTACCAATTCCATAGCCATGCAAACACACTGTGATCACATCACATTTCAGTTCTTATTATCTTCATTGAAATTTACAGATATTCCCTGTTGTTTTTCTGGCACAATTACCCTTTTTAGCTTAACCTGTTGTCTTGCGAACTATTTCTCTGATTCTCGTAATCTATTTTTTCATTCCTTCATGAGAAACTTCTATGGGCTCTTTATGTGGTCTTAATGGCTAATTGCCTTGTTTGGGACAACTTTCTTATTGCTTTTTAAAACAGTTTTCTAGTAAATTTTTTTTTTTAATTTTAAAAAACTGCTTTAAGAATCAGTAAAATAGCCGTCCAAAACATAGCCATAGTTAAGGTATAAAAGAACTTTCAATATATCAATTAGAATAACAAAAAAAAATAAAATTTGGTAAACGATGCAAGGATTGGACTTAACCTTAGATACGGTGGCTAATTGGTAAATCAAATTATCCAAGGTATTAAATCACCTCTAATATTGTTTAAAAATTGGCAATTCTTTCTAATAGTCTACTTTGCAAAAATGTTGCGTGTTCATTTAGGGGCTATTTGGTCGATAGAATATTGAGTTTAAAGAAAATGTATAGTTTTGAAAAATTGGGCATTTGGACCATTTTGTTTCAAATGCAAAGTGTTTTGGGAGTGATTTTGGAATTCACCCTATAGTTCATTTTGAGTTTATTTGGAATTCATTCATTTTGAGTGAATTCCAAATAAATAACTTGGATAAAAGTAACGTCGACAACTCACTACCATTATCACATCAACCACAACCATCGTTGTTGTTGATGACACCAGCCGCCTCCTGCTTCTGACGGTTGCCTCCAACAACCGATTCAACCTGCCACCACCTATTGCCAACAACTCTCTCTTGCTGCCGCTGCTAAATATCATTATCGTTGGCTGCCACCGCCTGCCATAAACCACGTCTGATTAACTATTGTTTTTAATATATTGCTATTTTATTTTGCATTGCCAACTTCAAATCAAACAAAAAGAAGTAAATTCCTGCATTTGCAGTATACTCGACGAAACAACTCAAGTATTTTCATATATTATATTTACTTTAAGTTTCATTCTTTTTACTCCACATTTTTTTTTATCCAACCAAATAGCCTCTTACTCACTTTGAAGGGGTTCAAAAAATGGAGTATACAACTTTAGGACTTTTTGACATTACCTATTTCAAAATTTTAAATATTACACATAATCATAACAAATTTATTGGATAATAAGAGTAAAGGAATACATTAAAAGATGTCCATAATAAAGGAAGAAAAGGATAAAAAACCATGTTGGCGAGCATAATTATACCAGCCCTTCGTTCTTCATATTTAGAACATCAAAGATTTCACATTCAAAAGGCACTTTAATTTATTTAAATGTTCAAACTTCCGCAATTTATATAGAAAAATGACATCTTTGTAATAGGATGGAACCAATTTGAAATTAAACGAAGCACAGCCGAATTTGGCTCAAACTATTTTCCAAGCCTCGGAGCCTACAAGAATATACCTAATGTTTCTTGGTACATAATTTACTATAGACGCCTTTGTACCATGAGTTAGAACCCATTATATCAAACATTATATTGGAACGTACATTTCCTCCTTAAGACAGCGATTGCTGCTTTGCCATTTACTGTAAAATATCTATTGACGCAACCTTACGGTGAACTTATAGTAAGGTATGTTTCATGGAATGTACCTTAACTACTATCACCGAAGCCAAACAATGACTTCTTTCTTCCCTCACATAATATTTGAATTTAATTGTGAGACATCTTTAATGTACCATTATTCATGGTGGACTTGAACATATACTTAATGAAATACATAGAAACCTCATTCAATGATCACTCAAACAGAAAATAAAGATGCAACACAATTAATTTGTGTTTTTCGTAACTATAAATTTTGAGCATCATATTACCATCTATTTTTTATTCCATGTCATATAACTGTATGAATATCAATTCTTTCAAGCTTAGGCGTGCATTTCTAATATATATAGGCTGACACACTTGCAGACATCCAGGGAGAGTGAAAGACAGACAGAGAGAGGATTCACAAATAGTTAAAATTTCACCTCATTTTATATTTTATTTACTTAGTCATTTTCTTACCTCTGTTTTTCCCTTAGAACTTCCCTGGTGCTCCTGCGGTTACTACTGTTTTCTTTGGGGCAAATGATGCTGTTATCTTGGGGAGAACCAGTGAAAAACAACATGTACCTACTGAAGAATACAAGCAAAACCTTCGGAAGATTGTTCATCATTTAAAGGTTATTGTATAAACTATGTTGATAAAAATATATTCACTATAGTTATCAATTGTTTAGTTTTGGACTAATTGCAGTTTGTTAATGGAATTTTGGAATGTTGCAATCTTTCTTGGTTTTCCATGTGTTATCCACTTCAAAGATTTTTTGTTAACAATGGTAATTATACCATTCTTGCTAGCAAGCTGTTATGTTTAAAAAGAGAACATTACCTTCAGTGATTAGTTTCCAACATTGTACAAATGGCTTCATTTAGGTCTCACCACTCCCAACTGTTTTTTATTGTATTTATGTCAGTTCTTCTTTCCAAATTACAATGATTTCAGTTTGAGTCCTGGAGGGTATCCATGCTTGGAATCTCCTTCTATTTATTCCTTATTTTCATCTTTTTCTCCTCCCAGCCCACTGTCAGTTGGGGATATGGTTGATAACCTTCTTCTCTATCCCTTTAAAATCCCAACCGTCCATTGGCCTTTGATCCCACGCCCAGCCTGAGAATTTGTGGGAGGCTCAGCTTGATCACTCCGATCTTCTTCCATATTCAAGTGGTTGATTTAGGAAGGATTATATTAGGAAAATTATGCATGTTCTGCAATTTTTTGTTTATTTGTATGATAAAATGAAGAATTTCCCTCACTAATTTTCTGAATTTAACATGGTATTAGAGCTTTCATTGACTTGGCCTGAATTCTGAGTTTTTTTTTTTTTACTGTCGGACTTTCTGGAGGGAAGGCCCGACCTTCCCTTCAGGATCGAAAGGGAGCGTATTCCGGCCTGTTCGTTCCTGCGTACGTCCAACTGAGAGGGGGAGAGTGTCTCATCCCACAGTCTCTTCGTTTGATTGAGAGAGAAGAATGCTAGTGTGTCTCGTCTGGAGGAATCGAGCGAGAACCCCATGGTCTATGCATTCAATTGAGAGAGACGAACGTCTAGTAAACCCCTCTCGCATGTGTGTGACCAAACAGGACGAGCAAGGCGGGTGGCCAAAAGATTCTACGCGTGTGCTTGGAGTTGATTGAGCGGGATTACACTCACTACTGCGTGTGATCAAGGATGAGCCGGTTCTTGCATTCTGCTTCCTACTCGCGTACATCCAGAGTAGTCAAGCAAGTGAGAGGGCTTCCCATTTCAGTCGAGAAGGCACACGAGACCCCTCGTGCGTGCCTATCTGGTGATCAAACCGAGTGAAGAAGAGGATCAAGAGAGGGAGAGAGTAGGAACTGTGTGCATGTGTTCCCGAGCTGGGATGACCAGCCCACATGCTTGTTTTAGAGTCGAACCGAGTAAGGAACAAGCAGTTGAAGAGTTGCTATGCATGCGATCTAGTCGGGCCGAACAAACCTGGGAGGCTCTTGTGCACGTGTTTGCTCTCGATTTTGTGAATTTGGAAGGATAATTAATCGACTTTCCTGTTGTTCCACCATCGTCCTTCATTGCAGGAATTATGAGGAATACATGTTCCCACCATCGGCCTTCATTGTTAGAATTATGAGGAATACAAGTTCCCACTACCGGCCTTCATTGCTTGAATTTTGAGAAATACATATTCCCACCATAGACTTTCATTGTCGGAATTTTTTGGAATAATGATCCTTCCACCAGCTTTCATTGATGGAGTTCTAAGGAATATTAGTCCTTTTGCTTCCTACGTGCGTCTAATACTGAGGAGATATTGAGCGGCGGGTTGGGGGAGGGGGGGGGACTCCTCTTACATGCAACATCGGATGTCGACCAAGCAAAAATGAAATAAGTCGAGCACATGACTTCCTCTTGCATGCATACGGAAATAACTAAGAGTTGCCTCTCATGAGGGTCTAGGGCTGGGACAAGCAAGAGTGCAAGACCTGCCCTCCTAGTGATCAAAACGGAAGGATCAGAGGCCTTGTGTGCACCTGTATGGGGTCGATCAAGCAGGAGTGTTCAGATGGAATCAGAGGTTTGATTTGCATTGGGCTGAAGGATGGCTTGATTGGATAAGAGGATATTTGCATGCTAAGTGCTGAGCCGCTTGAGACGTGTGTTTCTGCTACTGTCCTAGAAGCTTGCCGCTACCTTAAAAATAATATATTTTTTTTATTGTCGTGCATTCATTGCCGGCCTTCCCTTGTGTTTTCTATCATATCTATAACTGATGCAGTTTTCATTACTGCCCTACTTAATATATCCTTCATTGAAACCTTTTGCAACCACAATATTTGAAGCTAATTTCTTCAAAAGTTTTGACCAAATGGAGGACTCTATGATGCACAAAGGGACTTGATAGCTCTACTTTTCAGGGACTAGTTACCAAGCTGGGAATGACAGTATTTCCCAGCTTGAGGGGGAGTGTTAAAATCCCAACCATCCCTTGGCCTTTGATCCCACGTCCAGCATGAGGATCTGTGGGAGGCTCGCTTGGATCACGTTGTTAAATCTCAGTCATCTTTGGCCCTTGATCCCATGTCCAGCATGGGGATCCGTGGGAGGCTCACTTGGATCACGCCAATCTCCTTCCATATTTAGGTGGCTGATTTAGGAATGATTATATTAGGACAATTATGCATTATTTTGCAATTATTTGTTTCTTTATTAAGATATCCTATAGAGATCTATAAATAGGGATAGTTTTGCATAATAAAATGAAGCCTATCCCTCTGCAATTTTTTGAATTTAACACCTTTCAGTCTTCTCTCCAAACTGGAACATCAATTATTTGGGTATGGGTTTTTTAAGAGTTTCCAAGTACCATACCAGTTTGTCAACACCCCTTACTAGCTGCGGTCGTATCATTGACAATCTTATCCATATTTTTTAGAGTATTTCTTCCTTTAAACATCTGAACAATTTCTTAACGGATATAAATAAATTAAACTAATAAATCCTATTCTAGAAGCCTGTAAAGCTGAAGTGTACTTTCTTGAAATTCTGTACGGTCTATTTCATAGATTTCTATATAATCTACTGTATTCACCTATCAATAATAAGATGAGTTTATTTTCATATTTCCGGTCTGTCTTCTTTGTTGCTTTCTTCTTTATCTCTGAGAAGAGACAAGACTAGTCTCAAGAAGTTTTCACAATTTACATAAGAAGTCATGTGATAGCCTAGCGGTTAAGGGATTGCGCTAGAGGGCCAAAATGCATATTGGAATCACCAGAAGGATTTAGAAAGTTGAGTGATCTAAGCAATATTAACTATAATTTTTAAGACTATCCTATATATGAATGTAGTGCTTGACTCGTAGAATTCACCGATAAGAATAATAGCAAGTTTGCATTCATATTATTAGGGAATGTGAATCAAGGGAATCAAAGTTGGGCATGATTCATCAAAAGGAAATTTTATTTTCAACCCAAAAATTTAAGCTTGTAGGTGTGATGCGGAGGGATCAATAGAATTTTTACATCGATGGAGATTTTCAATTTTTCAATGATGGACTAAACTCAATATTCTCAAGTATTTTAAGGAATTCCCTTGTGTGAGAATTCTCTACATTGAACATCATTCTCCTTCAAATGAAACTTAATCATTATTGCAAGACATTTTAAGCTTTATCTATTTCTTAGTCTTTGAGAGATTTAAAGCATCCCTATATGGTTGTATTGAGTGTATTCGAATTTGGAGAAGAGTACTTTCTTTTGCCTCATTATTATTAATTTGTCCACCTATGTGGCTTCTTGATTTGCCCACCTATTTGTCTTGCCTGTGGATATAGGCCACCACAAAATTAAATAAATATTGGTTTTCTTGTTAGTTTCTTGACAGATTAGAGTTTATATATGTCCTTAAAGAACAAACAAAAGAGTCAAAGGAGCAAATTTCGACCTCATGTTTGAAAGTAGAATCAGTTTTTCAACAAAATATGTTAGCTGTTTAGCGAACTATGGAGCCACAATTTCAGAACAATTTCTTCCTTTTTATTTCTGTGCATTCATGTACGGTGTCTCTAATTTTTTTCATTTTTTCTAAAATATTTTGGGTATTCTTGGAGCTTTAACTTCAACTAATTTTAGATAGAAGAAATACTGGGTGTCAAGGGTAGATTGGGTGGAGAGGGGTCTATATTCTCTTCTTCGCTATATTGTTTGCTTGATTGGATGTTTCTACTTTATGCTTCATCTCTTTAAAATTACAATTTCTTCCACTGCATTCCGGGCCAGTTTCGTCTTATATATTTATGTCATTGCAGGACTGTTCGCCTACTATGCTGGTAATTTTAATAACCCCACCACCAGTTGATGAGAATGGACGCAATGAATATGCACGGTTTGATGAATTCTCCCTTTTTTTTTGCACAATATTTTTAATCAAACATTGTTGCTAGAGCTGGAAAACAACTAAATAAATTTATAATTGAATCATAACAAGCAAAAGAAACACATATAACAACAGTTGTGAGAAAACATCACAATACAATGTTTTCATGCCATCGAGTTTGCTTACTGCGTGCTATGAAAATTTGTTCTCCAGCCTCACCGAGTTTCAAGAGAGTTTAAACGGATATATGGGTCAAATTTTCGAAAGGCAGATTAGTTTTAAGATAAAATGTTTTCTCAAGATTTATCCCTTATTTTGTGAGGATTTTATGATCCAAGTTCGAGTTCAAGTTTTTTATAGGTGCAAGCTCTTATAGTTAATTATCCCTCTTGGTGATAGTAGAGCACTTGCAATAAAGGCTAGTTATTATATAGAGACTAAGTATTAAGTGTATAATAGGAACATATTTGATGTTTAGGATTTAAAATTTATCAACTTGCACTTAAAGTGGATGGTGAAGGACATGATGATGATCAAGATTCAGTCATCCCATGCTATTATGATTCCTAATCTTCTTATTCGAAGGAGGTTGTCAACCCACCTAATCGAAGGGTTCTTATTAACATCAATGGGTTGCTTCGTTCAAGAGTATCTTATAGACCAAGGTGAGTGCTTGGCTAAGAGGATAAATTGAATTTGACCTTAGCTAGTAGGGAGCTTCTATCAAGTATATCTTATGATTCATTACTTAGGGGTTTTAGCTATTCGAAAACATATGGATTTTCATTATGACTGTAATTTAATGGTGCCTATCCACGACAAAATTGCCTAATCAAAAGGCCTGAATTATAAATGTTTCTTTGTGTTGCCATCTTACGCAAAACTAGCTGTTAGAGAATATTTATCATAGTCTTACTGGCAGAAGATTATAATTGAATGATATTTTCGATAATTCATTAACTCTTTACAAATTAAGATTATTCTTAAATTTTTCATCTTTTACAAGTTGTTGCAGAGAGTGAATAGTTTTCTGTTTTAGATTATATAGGACTATATTTCATTTGAAATATTTTGAATTTTGATAAATATATATTTTTTTATTTATTTGAATTTAAGTCCTAATTGATTAATTTTAGAATTTGGAGGGGCCTTTGGAAGTTATGTAGTATCCTTCTCTTGAGGTTTCTTATTAATGCGACCATCAAGAAGGTGAAATTTTGATTTTGAGAGTTAATCTCTTATGATTGAAATTTACTTTTAACACGATCATCATCGAAGACTGTTTGGCTCTTTTTTATTTTGATATTTGAATATTGTCAACCATACATGCTTGCTAGCAGAAGATCATGTTTTATCTGAGTTTATATAGCATTTGATAATAGAGTCTCATCTGGTTGAATTTCACTTTCAACATAGTCAGTATAGGGTTATTAGGTAATTTTTATTTTGTTATTTTCAATCTTATCTACTCTTAACTATCAATATATTTGCAGCTTTAGCCTAAGGGCCTCACGGTTTTGTCCTGTTGGTGTAACTTTCTAGGAGGTCACCCATTCCAAGGTTTCTTCGGGATGAGCACGCTTAATTGCAGAGTTTGTTAAACGAAATTCTAACAATTACACCAAAAGGTGTTAGATGTTTAACAGTTTAGCTTCTTTTATTTAAGGGTTTTCATAGGGAGTGCGCCTAATTGTTGGTGATTTTCACTGAGTATGGGAATTACGCCAATGTGAATGGCATTTTCTTTTCAAAATCCAAATTTCGACATTCATTTTAGTGATTTTATACTTACACCCAACGTTTTAAAAATCGGACCAGACCGACTGGTCCGACCGGTTCAACCATAACTGGTCTGAAGGCCGGTCCGGTTCAACCTTGAAAAATGGTTGTGCACGAAATCGGCCAGAATCGGTTTGAACCGTCGGTTCAACTAGGAACTGGTCCCGGTTTTCTAAAAATGGCTGGTTCAATTTTTTTATTTAAATAATTAAATACATTATTTAATATTAAAAAAATGTTAAACTTAATCAATCAATATAAATATTATATATTAAAACACTTAAATAAGTATTAAAGAATATGATTAAATATTACTTGCAACATTCTCACATGGCTCCACTACTCCATATGAGCTCCTATCATTTGTAAAAGCAAAAAGTTATATAAACTATACAAATCAAAATATCACAAGTGATGAGGTACTAAATCATATAAAGCAAAAAAGTATATTTGGTTTCATGTACTCACTATACAAAGCAAAACATCTTTTTTTGAATGGTTTTTTAATTAATTTTTATAATATGAATAATATTTATTTTTAGTTGATAATATTTAATATATATTTTTTATCATACAAGAAAACTAAATATCTTTATAAATTCAATAATTAAATTTATCAAACTTAAATAAAAACATATATAATAATATAAACTTTTAAATAATTAATATAAATTAATTAATCATTAACATTCTCTTAAAGTAAAAACAAATAAATTGATTCCTATTCGCTTGAATTCGCCGCCTGATCGTTGCATATGTAGAGTCGGGTCGAATGAGCCATATGATTTGGCTCAATATGAAGCAGTCAAATCATTTAGCGCATTCAGTACTGTGCCAAATGATTTGATGATTCTTCTCCTTTCCAAAATTTCGCCAAACAATGCTCTTCCGCCAATTTAAATTACTGAGGTGCTCTTTCAAAAAAAAAAAATGAATATATATATAAAGAAAAAGAACAAAAAGGTGTGAATCAACACCGTGCAATTTTCTTATTTTTCATTCATAGTGATTTGCATGCTATAACAAAGAAGGGTACTTTTATCATCCACTAAAGCAAAAGTTACCTGCTCGAAATGTGCGGTGCAAAAGTTCAAAACTACATTGGGAATCAAGAGAATAACATTATGTTAATATTAACTTGAAAAATCTAAATAATACAAACCTTTAATCAATCACATAAACACATGAATAGGCATAAAAATTAATAGTTAACTAATATTGTCGCATCTTATTCTGCATGCAATATCCATTAGCATTACTTAATTGGTTAATGGCACAAGTTTACAGTATAATTTCTTGAATTCTCTTGACAAGGTCATCAATCCCTTTGTTACTAACCTTTTGATAGCTTAATGCTTCTCTCTACATTCTTTCATGTAAAATTTACTCTTTCCAAGACCAATTTACCATATTTTTCTTGAGTTTTTGTTCTAATTCCTTAAACTTTCACTAGATTCTTCCATAATTTTTTGATCTTTGAATGGAGATTTCTTTTTTTCTTAGATTACTATATGGTGATAAGGCCAGAAAACTGCCTGAAAGGACAAATGAAATGACTGGAGTTTATGCAAATAAATGTATTGAGCTTGCTCAGGAACTAAATCTCCCTTACATTGATCTATGGTCTCACATGCAAGAAACTGCAGATTGGCAGAAAAAGTTCCTAAGGTATGATCTAAACGGTCTTTTGAGTTTGATATAAATCACCTTTTAGATCCTGATGAAAAAATTCTTGGCGCCAGTGATGGTTTGCACCTAACTCCAGAAGGAAATGCTGTTGTCCATGAAGAAGTAGTGCGCGTCTTGTACAATGCTGGCCTGAGGGCAGAAGATTTACCCTATGATTTTCCTCATCATTCGCAGATAGATGGCCAAGACTTTGCCAAAGCATTCAAACCCATGAATTGAAGTATGGCTTCTGTTCTATACTCCATATTTATTTTACTATGAGATTTTTTTTTTTTGATATATTTAGATCAATTAAGGCAGACTCACACACACATTTGTATAATAAGACTCAAACTTGAGACCTCTTAGTTGATAGTCTAAACTTTCAACTAATAGATCAAGATGAGTTGTGTACTATGAGATGTGTTGCTATAAAACTTATTGATTTAGCTTGGACTATGAATTTATGTAGGAATGATGTGCTCTGTGATGGGCATGATTCTTATTGGCAAGATTTTCCCTCTACATATAAAGATGTAAAATATATGTACATTTTATTTAGAGATTTTTATTGGCACATCATTTTAAACGCTTGATTTTTTGGTGTTTATGATCAAGCACTTTTTTATTGCATGGATGAATCTAAATGTGCTTCAAAAGGATTGAATATTAGTTCAATCTAATTTGACTTTCTTGAACTACTTGCTTAAATAAGATTGTTATTGGCACATCATTTTAAGCATCTTAGATTAATGAGATCAACATAGATGAATTTCAAAAGTTCAAGTTGAGTTGATGAATCTCTAATCTTGGTTAAGGTTTCATTTGGGACATTTTTTTGTTGCTTATTAAAATAATTTTTCATTAAAAAATTAAATTTTTTATTAAAAAAATTGATTTAAGAAGAAATCAAAAAGTTATGCCAAACGAAGCCTAAATTAAATGATACCAAATGCCTGATAATGGCAGCAAATGTCTTTACATCACCTAGAAATTCAGTAATCAAGAAGCTATGCACCCAGAAGCTATACGAAACAAACCCATATCCAGCACCAAAGGCGTTTCTACAACAAGGAAGCTGATAAAGAAAATTCGCTCAATGTCAACCTCATATTCAGCCAGCATGAAGCAAAGCTTCAGCAATAAACAAAAACAAATAATATCTGAACAATAAAGGATTCGTTTGGGACAGCTTTCATATTGCTTTTTCAAATAATTTCTTAAAATTTTATATTAAAAAGCTACTTTAAAAAATAATTAAAAAATTATCCCAAACGAAACCTAAATGTCTAGTTGTGCGTAAAAAATAGAGGTTTTTTTATTTGAAATAAAATGAGAATTCACTCTATAGTTCAATTTTGATATATTTAAAAATTATTAAATTTAACTGATTTTAAAATACACGGTAAGTTCATCAATTTTACTACCTTTGCCAATGCTGCCATTGATTTTCGCCTGCCATCACTACAACCGCTACAACGGGTGGCAATCATTCATCATCATCATTTGGCTTTACACGGCATTCGTTTTACTTCAAATTAAATAAAAAAATAATAATAACGATCATTTATTTATCATCCATCCAAATAACTCAAGCATATTTTAAGTCCATTATACTCTTTTTATATTACATTTATTTTACAATGCATTCCTTTTTCAATAAATCAAATAGCCCCTTCGAGTCTGCTTTATCAATTCCTATTTTTTAATTATTCCTTATGAGCTTTATGAAATCTTAAACTTATTTGTTACGGATCATTTTTATTTTTTAACTTCTATCCATGTTATCTAAGATAAACCTTTTCTCTTTTCTAATTCGCCACCATTACTTTTATTTATCCATCTAAATTATACTTCAAAAATTAGCATTCCCTTGATGCAAAAGTTAAAACACGTCATCATATAGTTGAATCAAATAAAAACATTCCTGAAATCAAATACCTGAAATTGTGTAAAAGGTTCAAAGTAGAACTGATGACGGAAGTACAATCCATAAAGAAGAAGAAAAAAATCTTCTTCTTTTTTGAACTTGTATGGCCTTTAATCGCCATGTTTACTTATATTCATTGCCTGGTTCACTCTTCCTATGGTTCCCTTCCACTAGTTTGATATACAATCATTAATCGATGACTGCAACTTGTCACTCAAAATCGATTTTAAGCATTATAGCTTTCTGGATTGATCTGTGTCTATGAATCTCAGATGCAGTTAAACTCTAGATATAACATGATCTTCCATATTTCCTTAAACTGATCAGCTCCAGCAGAATTGCCATAATAGCCAGCTTCATCTGCAACACATCTTCAGATCTCGTAGTACATGTTCCCCAGCCTTCAAACTATACCTTGCTAACGAGAGATTATTCTGTCCAGACACCGAATACACCTTACCTTCCAAAGACTAATCAAGTGCAGCCCCGTCATTCAGTATCGAGCAGTACCAAGTTCAATATCGAGCAGTACTGAGCCGCGGTACCGAGTAGAGGGTGACATGGCGCATTTTCATTGGGCTCTGGACGGCGTTCAGCATACGCATAGAATAATTCATCCTTCCGTTGAAAAGAAAAGCATAGATCAACCTTCAAAGAGTGAGTAAATTATATGGATGCTAATATCCATGAATGTTGTAATGCCATCATTTCACCCACAACTTACAGATCTCATTGTCATTTCTTCACAATCCAGGAGAAATTCTCACAATTGAAGCTTCATTATAATATAACAACTAAACCACTGCTTCTGGCACCTCAACAAGTGATATAATAGAATACAATCGATTGATTTAGCTGACAACTTGCAGATTCCAAAATGGTGTCTTGAGGAAAACTGAGAACAAGTCCATTACCTTTTATAAGGTTTCAATTGATACTGTTGGAAATCAGAACTAAACATCAATGACTCCTCATTAATTTTTTTCTGGAGTCTCCTCCAAGTTCTAAGCATATCTGCTTGAATCAGTCCCCTGTAGAGAGTCTCAAAAGTGACCTTTTGTGGAAGAAGCCCTTTCTCAATCATTTCCATAAAGAACTGGCATGCTTCCTGCCATTTCTGCCTCTCGCACAGCCCATGTATCAGCAAAGTGTAAGAATCCATGTCTGGACCGATACCCTTCTCAATCATATCATGCCATAGTTCCATTACAAGTTCCGTTTGACTTAGCTTGGAAAACATCCCAATCAATATGTTATAGGTATGCATATCAAGCACCCCCAATGAACCAATCTCCTTCATCTTCCTGTACAGCTTCATTGCACTGCTGATATCTTTCCTCCCACGATATTCTTTAAAGAAGCAATTGTATGTTGCAGGGGATGGGCAAACTCCATTGGTCATCATTTCATTAAGCAACTCTTCTGCTTCTTCCAATCTTCCACATGATGCAAGACACTTAATCACCGACGTGTATGTCGCAATGGTGGGACAAATTCCTTTCTCCTTCATTGAGCGAAACATATAAACTGATAACTCGGGTTTATGGGCTCGGCTGCAAACATGGATAATAATTGAATAACTTGTAACATCAGGCTCGATACCTCGGCTACGCATATCACTTAAAAGATTCTCAGCTTCATGAATTGTTTTATCAAAGCAAACATCTGGATGCAAGCTTTCTCTTCTACAAATTCCATTCAACAAAACATTATATGTTACCACATTTAGTTCCACTCCTCGCTCAATCATCTCCTTTAGAAACTTCTGGGCCATGTCAGTTTTCTTTATCTTACACCACCCATAAACCAATATTGTGTATGCTTTTTCATCTGGTTCAAATGAGACTTTCCGCTTGTTAAAAAATTCTGTCGCTACCTGCATGTATTGATTATGAAAACAGAAGAAATAAAAATTGAATTAAATACTCATCGATGATAATTCATATTTGCATATAAAACAAAGTGAGAATGATATCAAAATACTTTTAAGTAATAGTGATAGCTTAAGGGCATTCCCTTTTTAAGGTCTCACAAAAATCAACGTGATGGAACAATATTACATGTGTGTCTTGCCTTGCAAAAGGGAGTAGATATAGCATAATATAAGACGAGGCTTTTGCGCATGCAGTATGAAAACTTATCAACATGGACATCATCTAATTCTCTGAATTCCCATCGATAAATAATAAAATAAACTTTTGAGAAGACGTATAAGCGGTTTTTAGCAATTTTAAGTGAAAGTCTTGGCAAACAAAAAAAAAAAGAATATGAAATAATGGAAAATCAACTTTTGTTAAGTATAAGGCTATTCTTCAATGCAAGATACGGGTGAAGCTAATTTTGATGAATTTTGACAAATAAATCGATGAATATCACATCGAAGAGCTTAAAATTGTTTGAGATACAAATAATAGTCGTTATGTTTTATGCCAATAGCGTGGCTGTATCGCACATGATGATATAAGGCGGGTCACTATAGAATAACTTAGACGGGCACTTATAATTCAGGCAATAGGTAGAACATGGAAAGATGCTGATTGCAATTTGACAATGGTATGTTTTAAGAGTGGAAAAAGAGAGTGTTTGGCTTATCACCGGCCAAGAAAGCAATTTAGGCTTCATTTGGGACGACTTTTTTATTGCTTCTTAAAACAGAATTTTAGTACAAAAATTAAAATTTTTATATTAAAACTATGTTTTAAAAAGCAATAAAAAATAGTCCCAAATAAAACCTTAGAAAAGGTTCTATAGAAAAGCAAACGTGTTAGGTGGATTAAATACAATTCACTGGCTCCAAAAAGAGTCATGCAAAACAATCATCATCAGTATGCTTACTTAACATAATATGTCAAGGCAAAAGCAACTCTTTTATTTTATTTGGGTTATTTAGTCCATTGGGACATGGGGTATTTTGTTATTTCCTTTGGTTATTATAGTTTTTAGAACAAAACCAAGGAGACTCAGACTCTTTATACATAGCCAAGGTAACATGGAAGGACAAATGGAAAAATGAAAGGATTCCCTTCTTAACCTTACAAACAAAATTGTCCATATTCATAGCAAGCCATGCGCCTCTGATAGCTTTGAATGTGGCAAAACTAGGGAGTCACATTCAATCAAGCCGGCCAATGAAGGAAATGAGACTTCAAGATTATCTCATCAAAATATAGAGAACATTGAACACTACTAAAAGGAGAAAATTCTCCTCCGAGCATTAAAAAGGGAGAAACTATTATCCCATTAAATTACAAACAAAATTGGAGTTCTCACTAAGATCACATCATCAACGTGAGGCAACTGATAACTAGGTTGTTTTATTGGAACATATTTCAATCTATAATTATTTTGATATTCAAAAGGAGTTTTTGCTCATCTCAAATTAACCAAAAAAAACCTTAGTATGCTGAATTTTTAACTCCAACAAAATAACGTTAACTTTTACGTTGACAGAATTCAAAAGACTTTTAAAGGCTTCTTTATTCCATCAGCTACGAAGAGTCGAAGAGAACAGCAATTGAAGCAAAGACGATTCATTCAGCGGAGCTTTTGGTACTGGTTCCTTCTTCAATTATTCTAGCAACAACTGGAAAATTTCTGCCTCTTAGTGATTTCAGTCTGCTTCGGTCACCACAATAGTTCGCTGAACTTGGGCTTCCCCTATTATGATCATCTCCTTATTGATTATTGGTCCAGTTTGCTAAGCTATCAAACACTTTTAGTGATGGTTATTAAGAGCCAACGCCTACAAATCAATCAATGTTTCATTGTTTCAATCTCCAATTCTTTAGTATATTTTTCATCCATCTACGTCACCTCCACCACTATGTTCATCACCTTTCAACTTTTTGGTGATTTTTTTTTTTGCCCTAATGAACACAAGACAATCAAAGTCACCGGCTCTTCTCATACAGATCATCTTCATATGTCAGTGTCAAATAATTTTTTAATATGGTTTCATCATGTTTCATGTTTTAAACATGTAATGAAGAACCATTATACTTCCTTGGTTAGCTATGAATGCCTTAAGTATATAGTGAAGAGCTTCTATATAAGGGCTGACTAAGGATTGCATGGGTCAATTAAAGACTACTGAAATCAAAGCATGATTAATTCACTCCTCCCATTCTCTTCCTCTTTTTCTCTTTAAATTTGGTTCCGCGTCCATCTTTTCTTCCTCTCATTCCCCTTGGGGTGTGACCCGTTTGCAATCCCCATCAAAGTATCATTCTGCTACCGTGCTACGTCCCCTCAGCATAAGTTCCATTATTTATGTGTAAAGAGTAAGTCCAAAGAAAAAAAAAGAAAGGCAGAAAGCATATTCACCCATCATTCGTCATCATCATCAAAGCCCTTGAAAGAAAAAATACAAAAGAGCCTACAGGCCGAAAATATCAAAAATTTTAGCTCCACCAACTTCTCCAGAACGTCCACTCAGCTCATGCATGTCAAAAATGTCGCAATGCAATGTCAGCCGACATCTACAATCATTTTCAACTATAATGCGTAGCAATGCATTCAGCACCATCAATAGGATCAAATTTATATGAATTTAGGTAACCCTATAATCTAAAAAACACTGTATTTTAAAACATTTTGCAAACAAAAAAGCACCAAGAATCAAGGAAAATATCATCGAACAATAATTTAATTTAAAAAGGAGAATTACAGATATTGAAGTTAAAAAGTGAACCTTGGGATAACCATACTTGCAAAGCGTGTCTAAGAGCATGTTGAACTCCGCGGTGCCAGGCTCCCTTCCAATAAACGCCTCCATATCGTCGAAAGCCCTGATTGCCTGCCTCGTAAGTCCCGCAGCAACGTATCGGCGGACAAGAATGGCGAATGTCCGCGGAGATGGGGCCACGCCGCGCTGGTCCATCTCCACAATGAGCTGCCAGGCTGCGTCGAATTGGCGGACCTTGCCCAAGACGTCCACCATTAGGTCATATGCGTCTGCACCATGCGAATGATAGGCCTGGTCGCGCGACCAAACAAAGAAACCGAGGGCGATCTTGGAGAAGTTGCGGATGCGTAGGAGCGTCTGGAGAACGAGACTCTGTGTGAGGCGGATGCCAGCGAGCTGGAGGGATGATTCCATAGCGTGGAAGGGGTTGTGGTGCTGGAAGAGAAGACGTGAGAGGGCGTCGGCGTCATCGGAAGGAACGATAGGGGGGAGGCCTGGCTTTGGAGGATTTTCAAACCCTAGCTCAAGATCAGCGGACTCGATTGGGGCTGTGGTTTGGAAGCGATTATTGGACAAGTAGAGCGGATAGCCTCTGCGGCGAAGAAATTGCGCGGCCTGATGCCGCAGCCGGAGCATCCTGCCGAGTGCCGAGTAGCTCAGCGCTTCTGCTTTGCGTAATAGTGATAGCGGGCTGCTTCGAAATTTTGGGCTGATTTAGGTTTGATTTGGTACAGCTTTTTTATTACTTTTTTAAATAATTTTTTTATTTAAAAATTATAATTTTATATTAAAAAATTATTTTAAAAATTTATAAATTTTAAAATCAGTAACAAAATCATCCCAAATAAATTTTTATTATATTTAATATTTACTTATTTTTTGTCTCCATAAGTAATAACTCTAGTTTTAATTGGCTTCCCCTTATTGTTGAAAGCATGTTGATTAATTTTGCAAAGTATATTTGTTTAACTATTTTTCCTTGCTTTGTTTGTAGTTTACTTTGCTTGCCTTTTATCGATGCTTATATCTATATCAAGATTTTTTTTCTTTGATTGTTTCAAAATTTTCAATCTAGTGGTAATATAGATGATTAAAGCTCATCGACTTGTCAAAATTACAAGTCAGGTGGTTCTAAAAAATAATTCAACTAATAATTTGATAATGGGTAGCAAAAAGTGGCTCAACACTTGTTGATGGTCACAATGCTAAAACCATTGATATTATATATTGCCTCATTCGTTGTATCAGGGAAATTGGTCACATGACCCATGATTGCATCACTTTATTTATTGATCAATTTCATTATCCAATCACTTTGGGCTATGTTAGTTAGATAACTTTGGCCGAATTTGGTTCAACAACTTGAAAGTCTAAAATATATTTGGTTCATTATTTTGCTAATTGGTTGAGCTTGGTTAGTTGAGGCACCTATTCAATTATGGCTATTCACATAATTGCTTTGCCTTTATTTACTAGATAATTTGTTTCTTAGGAAACTTTAGTATGTTATGAAGCACGTAATTTAAAGAAAATGATGAAATCATATTGGACAAAAACTTATATACAACAACAACTACAACAAGCCTTTATTCCAATATGTGGGGTCGACTACATGAATCCTTTTTCTCCATTGTATTCTGATAAGAGTCAAATTCTCATCTAAATCTAAAAAAGAAATGTCATTTCTAATATTTTCTAACCAAGTCTTTTTAGGTCTATCTCTACCTTTTTTAATATAAATCAAATCTAATACATCCACTTTCCTAATCGGGTCATCAGAAGGTTGTCATTTTTTTATAACAAAACCATCTAAGGCGACTCTCTCTAATTTTATCTTCCACTAGAGCTACTCCAACCATTTCAACTATATGCTCATTTTGTATCATATCTTTAAGGGTAAAGTCACTCATCCACACGAGCATCCTCATTTATGTAACACTTAACTTAATATTATGCTTATCTTTTAATGGCTAACATTATACACCATAAAACATTACAAGTCTCAATACCATATTATAAAATTTTCCCTTAAGTTTCAGAGCAGGGGCAGAACCAGCCTTAATTTTCACTGGGGGGGGGGGGTAAACTTATAAGTAAAAGTGTAGATATTTTTTTTTCCATAAATAACTTTACAACCAAAATTTGTTCCGACGGTGCTGCCCTTGATCCCTATAAGTAACACACTAACACTTTACTTAATATTATGCTTCTCTTTTAATGGCCAACATTATACACCATAAAGCATTATAGGTGATTATATATATATATATATATATTATTTTCTTTATTATTTCTCTTTGTAATGATTTCTTTTGATTTTTGGTTGTAAGGATATTTTTGGTCCTTTTTTTTTACAAATTTTAGTTGTAAGGATAATTTTGGTTCCTTAACAATAAACATCTCAACATAATGTGTTTAATTATGTTGAGGACATTGCCTAAAGATCATAGTATTTTAAAACTTTTAATTATATTGAGGACATTATCCACTTCAACCATCTAACTTGAATTCTACTAATAATATTTCAATATATATCACCATGACTCTAAACAGTAGATCTAAGATATCTAAAATGAGTGCTCTTATCAATGATTTGATTGCCCAAAGTCATAATCCCTCAACTAGATCTATTATTACTAAAATTATAGTCAATATATTCAGTTTTAGATCTACTCAAATGAAAGCCTTTAGGTTTTATGGTTGATCTCCATAATTAAAGTTTACCTTCAACCCCATCTATAATCTTATCAACAAGAAGAATATCATCAGTGAAAAGCATACACTATTGTACAACCTCTTGCAAATGTCTAGTGAGAACATCCATGACTAAAGCAGTTGTATGATCCAAAATTTTATGTTTAACATTTTCAAAGTATCACATAACACTTCACTCTATTTTAGTTGCTAATCTTGAGCTTACTTCAATTATATGACTCTTCTTTTATTTGAACGAACACCAATTAAAACATCTTAATTCCCTACTTTCTTTCTTGCTCCACAACTTTAGTGTAGTCATAAAAAAATGCTCCATTTATCAATAGTCTTTAAGTATTCTTGTGATATTTGGCTAATTTGTTGGAAACATTTTTTAAAAAGATTGGTTATTACTTTAGTTGTCTTTCAAGCAATAACATTTTTCTTAACTTTTAAACATAAATTAGTAGGGTCTTGACTTGGAAAATTCCAATATTTATAGAGAAATGCTTCATAACATTCTTTCATTTCATTAACTCTTTGTTATTACAACTTGAGTTTCTCATTTTTTTTCTCTCTTCTTTGAAGGTTTGATGCTGATGTTGAAGTCATGGTTGCTATCATAGTTGAAAGAAAGCTGTAAAGTTTTATATTTAAGTTAGTTTAGTGTAATTTTTGAAAGGAAAGTGAGATAAGTATGGATTGAGAGTATGGGTGTTAATCTAACACCATTTCTAAGTTTCGTTATTAATGTCAAAATCTAGTGCTTTTGTTACGAGGCAATGGATCATAACAAGTATAGACTTTGGTGGGTCCACCACTCATCTTTTCCTTAAAAGGACCTATACATGTTGAATTGGTAGTGCTTGAGGGATTACTTGATCGTTTGATAATGGATAATTATGGTTTAATAGTCAATAATGCTTGCACATGTACTATCAAGAACTTTTAAATATGATGACATGAATGTTCATATTGAATACTCGATGACCAATTCATGAATACTCCATGATACCATTAGACATGCCAATTTAAGTTACTAGGATAAGTTTGTCTAACCTAGCATGAATATGCTTAACCCAAAATGGACCTTGTTATGATGTGGGTAGAAACATTTGTGCCTAATGTTGGTAATACAAAACTAAAAAACTCAACATAAATTGTTTAACATGTTTGTTCTATAAGTTCAGAGTAAAGTTGACCCAAATAACCTGGACATGAATCATGTAACCTTATTATTATATGTATTATGTTAGGAGGTTAACACGAGTTGTGTAGAATTGCTAAAATAAAATGATGGTAAACTTTTTCACATCAATGCACATTTTGATGTAATGGTTAAAATTTATTAAAAAAATTAAAATTAAATATGTTCGTACATGATCAAGCTTGGCATGGTGACTTTTGATAAGTTCCACCAATGGGACAAAATCATGAGGTCATTAGGCCAAAGTAAACAATATCTAACTTTATGATCAAGCTTAGCATTGTGGCTATTAGGTGAGAGTTTAGACAATTACAAATGATATTTGAGCAGTACACAAGCAGAAGATGGGGAAGTTTTTTACATGAAAAAGTGTTACATTATAAGAGTGACGTCTTAAATCTTGGTTGAGACAAAGTTTTATATGGTGGGAGCCACTTGAACATATAAGGGTCACTAACAAAATTGTACCTACCAAATCAATGATTTTTTTATTATATTTAAGGACATTAATGAGGATGTTAGTTACTTAATTATGAGAGATTATGGAACCCCTTGATTAAAATGAACTAAAGCTCTTAAACATCGAGCACCTTTTGGTATACTAGACATAACTTTATTAAACAAAAGAAGTTTTGTGTACTTGATAATTGTAAATTATGTACTATTTTATATATTTTATCTTCAATGAAAATATTTTGTTTTAGTTATTTTTATTTAGAAAAAATCAATAAATGGCAAAAATTCTAAGGAGACTAAAGCGTCATGATGATCGACGAAATAATGTCGCAGCGCCACCTTCAATGATGCCAAGCCACCCCAAATTGGACATTGCAGCACCAAGTTAACTGTTTGTAAGGGTAGCAGTGGCAACACAACCAGCATCACAACATTACCAGTGCTACGACATCAAAAAGACAACTTGGCAGCGCTACATTCTTTATTTTTAAATACCTTGGTGTTATGATTTCTCATGTATTGGAGCCATTTTTTGCCACTCGGGCACCGCAACCTTCAAATGTCAACAACGTCGCAGCATTGCAATTATAACTTTCAAAGGTCACATTCTCTTAGTGAAGAGACTTGACTATTCACTAAATGATCCACATTAGCAATCGTCGCAACTATGCAATAGTTTCAATGTCGAGGCATTAGTTCACTTCAATGGCACTGCGGTGCCACTTTTTCAAGAGCTGCGCTAGATGCCTTTTTGTGTTATCCTATAAATAGATGTGATGTTATGTTTGTGGGGGAGTTCAAACACTTTAGTAAAATTCGATACTTCTTTTTGAGTACTTCCCTTCTTAACTCTTAGAGTAAAATATAAGGGAGGCTATAAAAGTACAAGTTACAATCATTTAGAGTGTGTAGCATGTGTTTCTTGAAGCAACTCTGTATATTAAGGGAGAATGAGTGTAGAGGAGATACTTTGATCTTTTTTGGTGATATCACTCTCTTGTATTTTCATTCTTCCATGAGTTTAATGAAAATGAGTTTGCTTGTCATTTATTTTATGTCTTGCTAATTTTCTTATTTTGGATTGATGATGTAAAGTGAATGTTAAGTACTACTAAAGACTCTTGTTCTATAAATATTAAATAATGCTTTTAATATTATTCCATTCTTAATTTAATACACATAATAGTCATATGTCTAGTTAAAATATAGAGTGATGCATATCCTCTACAGAGGAATGCAAGAACAACTAGAAATATTAAGATAGGATGTTTGCATGTATAGACATAGGATGTTAAATATTATAGTTTCTATTATGATGAATTTTAAATAAAATAATATAAATTAAAAATAGAATTATTTTATCTCAAAATTAAATTTGAGGTCTATTAAAAAAATAATTACATGATTAAGATTTCATTTAAGATGACTTTATTATTAATTCTTAAATTTTAATTTAAAAAATAAAAATAAAAAAAAAACCGACCCAAATGAACCCTAATTCAGAATGTGACGTATAAAATCAAATTTATCTAAATTAGTAAATATTTTTAAAGACATTTGATATGAAATTCGATTTGCATAATTGTATTCTTTTTTTCCAAAAAAAAAAATAATAATAATAATTGTATACTATTCTTACTGGTCACTCGCCGCCTGCATCCGCTCTTCTAATCCATATATATAATAATAATCTAAAAAGTGGCCGCCTTTGCGTTCGTTATCCCCGCGGACATCGTTCCTCCATTTCCAATTCTCCTCTCATTCTGCTCCAAACTTAACCCTAGATTTCACAATCGGAACGAGATGGCAGACAGCGGCGTGGTGACGGTGTATGGGAATGGCGCGGCCTTAACAGAGCCCCTGAAGAAGACGACGACGTTCTCTGTAAAGGTAGGTCTAGCGCAGATGCTCCGCGGCGGCGTCATCATGGACGTGGTGAACGCAGAGCAGGCGCGCGTCGCTGAGGAGGCCGGCGCTTGCGCGGTCATGGCCCTGGAACGCGTCCCCGCTGACATCCGCGCGCAGGGTGGCGTCGCTAGAATGAGCGATCCAGGCCTAATCAAGGAAATCAAGCAGGCGGTGACCATACCGGTCATGGCCAAAGCCCGAATCGGCCACTTTGTCGAGGCCCAGATTCTCGAAGCTATAGGCGTGGACTACGTTGACGAGAGCGAAGTCCTCACCCCTGCGGACGATCATCACCACATCAACAAACACAACTTCCGTGTCCCCTTCGTCTGCGGCTGCCGCGATCTTGGCGAGGCCCTTCGCCGCATCCGCGAGGGCGCCGCGATGATCCGTACTAAAGGCGAGGCAGGTACCGGCAACATCGTTGAAGCCGTTCGCCATGTCCGTTCTGTTATGGGCGACATCCGCGTCCTCCGTAATATGGATGACGACGAAGTGTTCTCCTTTGCCAAAAGGATTGTTGCCCCTTATGATCTTGTCATGCAGACCAAGCAGCTTGGTCGCCTACCGGTCGTCCACTTCGCAGCTGGTGGCATCGCTACTCCCGCCGATGCGGCCCTCATGATGCAGCTTGGCTGTGACGGGGTCTTCGTTGGTTCTGGCATCTTCAAGAGTGGCGACCCTACGCGCAGGGCCAGGGCGATTGTGCAGGCCGTTACTCATTACTCTGACCCGGACATCTTGGCCGATGTCAGTGCTGGCTTGGGGGAAGCAATGGTTGGTATCAATCTGAACGACGCCAATGTGGAAAGGTTTGCCGCTCGCTCCGAATAGAGTAATATTTACGTCATATTCCCCGGCCAGCAGTTGCAGGGATAATCATTTGTTTGATTGCTTGCTAAAAAATAATCACGTTCTTCCATCCTTTCTATAGTTTTTGCTATGGCTATTATGGCTATGGCTATGGCCGAATTTTGTTTTATGGTATACTTTTGTTGTGATCATGTCGCAGAAGTTATATGCAGTTTGGAAGATCATAGGTTAATTTCCTATTATACTTTTTTTTTTTCTGTTTTCATTTCAGCTTCACCTTATGGTTTGCGCCTGTATGTGTTACTTCCTGTAGGTGCCAGTCGCTATCAATATTGCTATTATATACGAAATTAATAAATTTTCCAACCATTTCGAGAAATCCTTACAAAGAAGTTGCTTTATATTTGTTTTTATTGTATTATTTTGATTGCTTTCCGAAAATATGTGCTTTACTTTTATTTTTTTTTACCTTTTTTGGCATAACTTATTGGTTTTGATTTTGCCATGGGGATCACTTTTTTTTTTTTTTTTTTTTTTTTTTTTTTGGGGGGGGGGGGGGAATTAAGACAAACTCACAGACACATCACTTATACAAGAATCAAACCCAACATCTCTTTGTTGGCAGCCAAAGCTTCCAACTAACTGACCAAGATGAGTTGCGCCGTTCTTACCTGCCGCTTGTCACAATCTATTTATCTCTAGCATAAATCCCCTTTTCTATCCTTTTTTTTATTAACAGCATGTTTAAGATTGTTATTTTTGGCAAAATTTTAAAGAGAATATTAATAGATGACCCATTAGGACAAAAGATCACATATTAGGAGAAGGAACACTAAATAAAAAAAATTCAAAAGAAGTCACTCAATGACTTTGCGACTATTGCTTTTGGGTAACTAGGGTAAGGGTTTGATTACCAAGCAACTTGCCCACCACATAGGCAGTTCTTTTTCTAAGTATCAGTGCTCTATGACTAGGCTATCGATATTTTTATACTTTATTTCATGTTTTTTCTTACAATTTGATGCTTTGACAACCCACTTTAGTTATAACTCAAATCACAAATCAATGCAAAAATGATTAGAAAAGGTGATGTACTGTTATTGCTCATTGAAACGCCATACATGTCGATGATGCAAAATAGAGCTGCTATGACATATAGCATGGTGTAGCGTACCCTCTGCACTATTTTTATGGAGTTGTGCAGAGGTTCAAAATAACACATTATTTGTTTTATGCATAGGCAATAATTCATGGCATACATCCCCTATATCATGCTCTAATTTAATTTTGATAATTTTTAATTATAAATTAAAATTTGTGTTATTTATTATTTAGTTTTTTTATTTATAAATGGTTACTTTCTCAGTACTGTTTGGTCTCGCTTGGCTAGGTAATTGCGCACATTGCCTCGATTTACACTCTAGCTTGTCTTGGCCTTGCACAATAGGTTGAACATCTTGTCTCCATCATTCAACTTTTAAATTTTGTCTTCACCTTTTGGCCTAATCGATCCCGCACATCTTTTCTTAAGTAGGTCGCACTAAACCTACAAGCCTTTAATGTTCAACTTGCAAGCTTGAGAAAGTTTTGGCGAAGGTATTCTTTCTTGTCTTTGGTGCTAACTGCTAACTTTGATATTTCTAAATTTTATTTATTGTTCAAAATTTTTTAGTGTAAACATTTTAGCATTAGTTGCCTCTATCTCTATTAGGTATTTGAAAAAAATGTCTGATTTAGTTTAAGCCACAAAGAAAGTTCATATATGAAAATATGCAATCTTGGCAAAAGAATGCAATAATAATTGTTTTGTGTATTTTTTGTGGCAAAATGGCAAAGAGACATTTGGTTGAGGGTTTATGAAATGTTAAACCTTATATGAATTGCCCTCCATATGTGAAAACATGAAATTCAAGATTCGTTGAAGAAGAAGAAGAAGAAGAAAGAGTTGAAAGATCAAATTAATGAAATGCCACATGTTAATGTTGATGAAAGTAATGATTTTGATTTGGGGTTAGATGATGATATTTTATGTGCTGGAACATCAAAAAAATATCATACAGAAAAATCTAATACGTCTTATCAAATTTCAATGACTTCAATGCTTAAAGAACCAAGGCTCTAGATACTTTTATTATTCTAATTCTTGTTGATATGGTAAAATACAAAAAGAGATGGCTTCTGAAAGTTAGGATGAGAGAAATAAATGGTTACTGCCAGGAGGGAGATAAGAGAAAGAATAAGCCAAATATTTTGTCATGCATTGGCATTCCCTTAACTTTTGATAAGTATGGTTGCTTCTCTAGAGTAGTAGAGGCATTTGAATAATTTGGTTCTGGGATGAAATTGTTTAGCTATCATAAGGTGTCACTTAAAGAAAGAGGTGGAACACAAAGAGTAACTATTGCTATGCCATGAAGAAGATTGTCATAGACATGATTTTTTTCTTATGGCTAATGGGTGGACATCCCTCAATGAAAAGAGTTTAGTCATCTTTTTGGCAAAATATTACAAGAGGAACTGTATTATAGAGTAAGTTTACCCTAGCTCATATTAAAAGAATGTCGTAAAGATATACGAAATGTTCAACAAGTCTATGAAGAGAGTGGCTACATTGTGTCATTCAAGTGGTCACTATTAGTGCTTATAAGAATGCTCTTACAGGCTAGCGTCTCATTACAAACTTCCATTTTGTTTGTTTTATTTTGAATGGGTCAATAATTGAGTGTTTCAATGACTTCTATGTTTGAAGAGCCAATGGCTTTGGATACTTTTGTTATCTCAAATCCTATTGATGTGTTAAAATGTAGAAAGAAAGTGATTCTGAAAGATAGGATGAGAGAAAGAGATGGATGCTGTTAGGAGGGAGATGAGAGAAAGAATAGCCCAAATATTTTGTGGTTAGATGTATGATGCTGGTATTCACTTCAATGTTGATAAGCATGATAGTTTCTCTGCTGTAGAAGAGGCATTTGGATAATTTGTTCCTAGGATGAAATTGCTTAGCTATCATATGATGTTCCTTGAAGAAAGAGGTGGAACACACATAGTAACTACTGCATTGCCGTAATGAAGATTGTCTTAGATATGGTTGCTCTCTTATAGTTAATGAGTGGACATCCTACAATAAAAAATGTTTTGCCAACTTTTTGGACGAATATTCCAAGAGGAACTATATTATAGAGGTAATTGACACAAATTCTTATTCAAGGAATGTCGTAAAGATATTCAAAATGTTGAACAAGTTTATTGAAGAGATTGGACCACATTTTATCACTCAAGTGATAATTTTAGTGTTTCTGAGAATGTTCTTGCAGGTTAGTGACTCACTACAAACTTCCATTTAGTTTAAAGTTTTATTTTGAATAGGTTGATAATTATTGTTGAATGTGTCTTAATATTTTTATAGGAAAGTTGTTGATGGATAAATATTCACATTTATGTTGGACTCCTTGCATAGCTCATTATTTGCATTTAATAGTGTTATATATTTTTAAGATATAATGACTAGGTCATGCTTTGAGAAGGCAATTGTGGTACATAGTTTTATTTATTCAAGATCTCGATTGCTTTACTTAATGAGGAGATATAAAAATCAAAGATCACTAGTCAATGCTGCCAATACTAATTTTTCTAGTATTTCTTGATACTACAATGTTTTCATCTGCCACATGCATTTGAAAAAAATGTTTACATGCAAGGAGTTCATGTTGGATCCTAATTCCAAGGAAGCTAAGGCAAAGCAAGCACAACAAACCATCTTGAAACAATCCTTTTGGAATAATGTGGTATACAACCTCAAAGTAGGCTGCTCTTTGTTGATTGTCTTTAGATTGGTTGATGAAAAAAAAAAAACCTCCAATGAGTTATATATACAAAACAAACAATGGTTAGGGCTGATAAAATAATTATTGTACGTTTTAATAATAGTAATAAGTGGATGCAAAATTTTAAAATTATTGATATAAGATGGAAATTACAACTCGATCAAATTTTGCATGCAACAAAACATTTTTTAAATCTTAAAACTTTTACAGTACCATGATGTTGCAAAAGATAAAAAAATAGTAGATGGATTATATGCATGTATTGGAAGATTAGCTAAGAATTTCGAATTGTCGATGAAGAAATTAAATTAGGAATGAGTTGAGAGAGTATATTAGCAGTGAAGGAATTCTTTGGCATAATTCCAACTGTAAGATAGAGGGTAACTCAAGCATCAACTAACATGATTTTAGTAAAATTATGATTAGTATTGACTATTGAATGATATTTTGATATTTAACTAATAATTGTTCAATACTTCTAGATGATAGGTAGCTAGCTTATGACCAACGATTTTGACACATTCAAGGTTTTGTAATTGAAGTGTGAAGCCAAACTTCTAGTTCATCTAGATTTGAATGTAATTTGAGTATATTTGAACATATAACTACAAAATAAAATATTGTATTGATTATCATCATGAAACTTTATAATTTAGTAATTTTAATTGTAGCTTCTTAGTAAAAGAAGCTGTAAGATAGATCATGGCTTCCTAAAAGATTTAGTTTATATGAAATATAATGTGGACTTGATTTGTATATACAACCATTGTGGCGTTATTGATCACATCTCTTTAAATGATATTAATTATGCTAATGAGTCTTTGATTGAAAAAATGGATGATGAATCAGTTGAAGATGATGATTGTTATATGTGAGGAGGATTTGATATAGAGAGTACCGCTGCAAAATTCACTGGTGTTTATGAAAGAAACTATAATATTTGAGAACAATCTAAAAGCAAAGAGATGGAATGTTCATCTAGGATTAATGTTTTTGCAGCTGAACATGAAGATGTTGAAGGTGATGAAGAATATAATGATTTCGAAGGTGATGATGCTGATGAAAGAAATGATGCTTTTTTGACTTATGATGATAATGATTCTCAAAAAGATTGATTGAATTTCTTATAAAAGTATTTAACTTGGAAACATAATTGTAATATTTTGAATTTCAAG